GGCTGATAAATCTGAAAGGTTGACCGGCATTAACCAAACTGATATGAAACTTCTAAAAGATTTGGATTTAACGGAGATTGGAACAGTTCAAATAATTCTTGCTTAATGAAAACTGGACTTGGCTCTTTCCTAATTAAAATTAAATTCTACCAATACAAGTGATGGTTATGAAGTTTGATTTGGATAATGACGAGATTAAGTAGCCGTGTCTAATATATTATAACCAGTGTCTTAATAAAAATATTAATACATTTAAACTTGAACATTCACTTATTTCAGCCCTTGCAAAGACATTTGTGTGCCTTTGTTTAAGTTACACTGCCTTTCGGAGTGCTGTTGTCAAGCTGTGCCATGCTCTAAATGTCATTTCTGTAACTATCAAACAGTTAACTTAGCCAGAAGAGGCACCAGGGGGCAAAGACAGCTTTGTTTTGTTTATCATGAGGAATAATAAGAAATAGATACTGTCAAAGTTACATACCAATGGGGAAAGATAGAAGATTGCCAGGGTGTAGTTCATGCTGAAACAGATTCAAGACAAATAATGTTTTGAATTTTAAACCCAGCTGGATGCTGTTCTGCTCATATGGAACATACATAGAACTCACATATTTTCATTTTACTTTTATGGTTTTGAAATTTGCCATCTTCATTTTTTTTTTTTTAAATATCCTGGTCTGGAAAATTCAAGACAGAGAGATTATTTTATTACATTATCTTACTCATAGGGCGTGGCTTTTAAGTAATAAGTTTAGACATGAACTTCTGAAATAATACAAAATTAGTAGAGAGAATAAATCTTTTTGTGGAAGCAGGAGGTGATTAATATTAGGGATGTAAAAAACGACAATACTGAACCTGTTAAATGATTTATTTAACCAGTTAATCACCGGCCCACAAGCTGTGGGGACTGCTTTGTCCCTGCCGCTGCCACGGGTGGTGGGGGCTTCCCCAGCCCTGCTGTGGATAGTGGGAGCTGCCCTGGCCTTGCCCCTTTCAGGGGCAGATGGGGCTGCCCCAGCTCTGATGTGGCCGCAGGAGTCCAGCTGGCAGGGCCAGTTAACCAGTTGCTTTGTAGGCAGGCTAATAAGTCACTATGGCCATCACAGAACAGATGCTTCCCAAGGATACACTGAAGTACCCAAGCACGGAGTGTGCATAAAGAGTGCTGTTCCTGCAGCCCCTGTGCTGTGCATGCTGCTAGCTCTAGTACAGGTTGAACCTCTCTAATCTAGCTCTCTCTGGTCTTGGCAACATCTGTGGTTTGGCATGATTTTAGTTAGCAGGATGTCCGCTTATCATGAGTGTGGCTAAGTTTCCTGCAGTCCTGTAAAATTTGTTTATAGCAACCAGTCCAGGCTCTCCATGTTCTGTGCTGTTATTTAGCTCTAATTTACCCCTGTATGTCTTCTAAGAGCCCAGTCAGCAGTGGAAGTGTTGGTAATATTGCTAGACGATATTGATCTCTCATGGTTTGGCAAATTCTCTGGTTCTGATAGGTCAGGTCCTGAGGGTGTTGGACTAGAGAGGTTCAAACTGTACAGTTAAGGAGGGTACCTAGTGGTCATCTTTTTTCTTGTCAAAGAGGAGGTACTTTAAATTTGTGGCATTACAGACATGTTTTCTCTTGTGATTATAAAATCTGACACAGTATACAAGCAGCGTAATCCCATGTCTCTACAACCTGTAATATCTTGGTAAGCTAACCTAAGTCTTCTTCATGCAGGTAGGGAAAAATATACTGTAGTTCTAATTGGAAAATTTATTTTCTTTCTAACAAAAATACATGTTTGTTACAGGAATTTTCTCCATTATCATAGAGAAACCATCATTAAAAGCATTTATGACATGACAAACATTTTCTTTTTTCATTCATGGCTTTAACATCAGGGACAGTATAGAAAGCTTACCTATGTACTTCCTCCAAGGTTGTTCTCTCCCTGCAACTTGCAAGCAAAATAATATTTTCTTTCTAGCAAAACTGTAAGTTATATTTGTATTTTTATTTAAACACCATACATTATTATAAGTTGGTATAGGTAGATTTTTTAAAAACCAATCATTCTTCAGTTTTCCATATAGGGTTGTATTTTGTGGTGTTTTAGTTACAGTTTGGAATCTTCCAGACTTTTCTTCCCAATGCCCATTTTTCCTTCTTGGATCTAGTTACAAGTAGTTTAGAGATCTCTTCCAGTGACACTCTTTTCATTTTGATTTTTCTCATGATATTTAGCCACAGCTCTTTATTGTTTTTAAAAGTGTGGGAGTGCACTACTTTTATAAGCCAATGATTTTATGGGTTCTGGGCCATCCACCCATTCCCATGAAGGTGGTCTTCTGATGCTTCATGAAGGCTGCAAGTAGTGGAGGCAGGCCCAAAAAGGGAAGTATCCAGAAGGCAGAATGGGTAGAGGATGGACAGAAAGATGGAAGGGAAAGGGCCAAGTTGCAAAAGGCAAAGGCTCATGTGGAAATGTTCCCAGAAATTATGTTACAGGAAGAAGGCTTATCCTCATCCTTTCTATCAATGAATCAATTTCTTGTCCATGAATTACAATTTTACAGGTACTAGCATCACCTTACTACTGCCATCAGATATTACAGAACAGAACGATGTGCCAAAACCTGCATGTTATCCCTCCAAAATAATTGTAAATAATCATATGTACCTTCGTGTCTCATAAGAACGGCCATAGTGGGTCAGACCAAAGGTCCCATCTAGTCCAGTATCTTGTCTTCCAACAGTAGTCAATACCAGATGCCCCAGAGGGAATGATCAGAACAGGTAATTCTCAAGTGATCCCTCCCCTGCCATCCATTCCCAGGCTGTGACAAACAGAGGCTAGGGAAACCATTCCTACTCCATGGTCTCACTGTAATAACATGGAAGAACACTGAATTCAGCAAGATAAGAAGTGTTTTTACACTGAACACAAGAGTACTTACTGGATTCTTTGTCCCATGTGCCACACAATAGACCGGGGTTTCCCAACCTATGGGTCGGGACCCAAATATGGGTCACCATTACATTTCAAAAGGGCTGCTAAGTGTCTTCCCAGGTGGCTCTGCCCTCAATGGCCTTGGGTCACCAAGTCTTCCTGAATTGTCAGAATGGGTCCCCATCTGGAAAAGGTTGGGAACCGCTGCAATAGACAGTCATGGAAAGACAGAGCAAACCCGGTCGGGGATGTCTGCATTAGTATATTATTTAGAAAGTAAATAATGGACCAAATTCTGAGCTCACACCAGTGCAAACTGGGGCTGTGTCTACACTGCACCTTTCTTGCGCAAAAGCCTATGCAAATGAAGCACAGATTAGCATATTGTTGTGCTTCATTTGCATAATTAGGGGCCACTTTTGTGCAACAGGCTTTTGCACAAAAAGGAGCTGTAAAGCCTCTTGGGCAATAACAGTCCCTAGTTAACTATGCAAATGAAGCGTGGCAATATGCTTATCTGCACTTCATTTGTATAGGCTTTTGTGCAAGAGAGGTGCAGTGTAGATGTAGCCTAAGAGTTTTGTCTTTGAAGTCACTCTAGTAAGAACAAAATCAGGCCCATAAACTCTTACAGTAAAAGATATGGGGTCAAAGTTGCAAAACAACTTACTCTTTGGGTAACTGTAGCCCTTGAAAATCAAGAGTGATCCTGCATGATCTAGAAGTGAGGGTGGGAATAATGAGCAGCTACAATTCCTATCATTTCTGAGCCTTGGAGAATAATTCATGAAAACAGTAATGGGCAGTTCAATGCAGAGAAAGGCACTGGATATAAGAAGAAATTGATTTTCATGTGCTGTTTCACAATAAGTTTTATAATGTAGCCCTATCTTCCTCTGCTTTGAGTCTATAACATATAAGTAAAGCACTGTCATGCTTTGGAAAATGTTTAAATTTGCTCATCTATGTCTTGATAACATTGTGTAACAGTAACATTTTTAGACACTTGATCCAGCCCATCAAACCAACAAAAAAGGTGTTTTGTATCTTTAAAAAGATACCAGTCCCAGAGCCTTGTCTTCAGCCAAGATATGAAACACGCAGAAAAAGTCAGGCCTGATTCTGGGGCCATGGTATGCAGGCTTGTTTCGGAGCATTCATTATAGCAGCCTGAGGCTTCTGCTAATTTACTTCTGTTATCAATTTCACAATGGGGGTAACCAGAGCCAGATGTTGGAACAATCCAGGTTTTTCCCAGCCATACACACTTTGAATGGCAGAAAATGTAGGGTAGCAGTCATTATGCAGGCTGTTCATCACCAGAGAATCCTTCTATTCTAGACATATCATTTTGGGTCCAGATATGTTGGCTCCATGACCAGGTTGTATGCACTGTGTGGCACAAAAAGACTTGATTGGCCAAATCTTTCAGTGTATTTCCTGAGAATGGTAAGAAGAACTGAGAACTAAATGTGGTAGCTGTCACTTAGCAATTCCTGTTTTAACACCTTTCGTTGAATGGCAACGTTATTGCTGGGAACTGGTCCTGTTCAACTGACTTGAATATTAATGGGATTTGAATACTGGCAACAGGTGTTTTTTTTGTTGTTGTTTTTTTTTAGGGGAGAAAAAGTACCTGGTCACATGCAAGTCTGTGGCACTATTACCAGGGAAGTGCTAGTGTAGCACATCACCTTTTGGTGCTTTCTGGCATGCCTCCTGCTCTGCAGCATGAGTGCTAAGTTTTGCTGAGTTGTGGTCTTAGACAGAATTGTGCAGCCAGAGAGGCATGTCAAAATACTTCTTTCCTGGCTGCAGTCAAAAAGGTCTACCAAAGTGTTTTTGATCTTTCTTCTCGTATTCAGTTTCCACGTAGGATTCTAATGAGCTGATGTGCGTATAGAATATGGTTGTTTTATGTGTGTGTTTTTACTATTGTCATATAGCTACTGTGTATAGCTATTAATCTAGATTAACTTGCTTTATCACTTCTGTGGGGCTGTAAAAATAGAACACAATGCAGTGCTTTGTTGATGTATTTTATGAATATTTGTTTTTCAGATTGCAGTGAGGATGTGTTCCGTTGTACTACAGGGAAATGCCTGAATTACACCTTTGTTTGTGATGGATATGATGATTGTGGAGACCTGAGTGATGAACAAAACTGTGGTAATTAGGAGTGCTACATTTCTCTAAAGGCTATAATATAATAGCATTGCCTAAACTAACGAAATCTTTTCCCTTGCCAGAAACAGTAATATACCCACATGCAAGGAAGAGAACACACATTATTAAAGTGTATGACTTTTCATAACTAATATAAAAGGTTTGGGGAATTCTACCATTCGGTGCTTTTGCACAATTTTTGTGTTTTATACAAATCAGGTACATATTTTATTGAAGAAATGGTGACTTGGTTGTAAACTTATTCAAGATGTGTTGACAGCTTTCTGCTAATTCAGCAGCGGATATAGGACAAAATAGCATCTAAAGATGCTGCATATTGGTGATGCCAGCAGAGCACGCCTCCTCCAGGGACTCCTAACTCCCCCCGTCTCTGGCACATCACAAACCTGGCTTTTCAGGTACTGCGTTGGCTGTTTGGGGGAGGGGAGCAGCCAGTGCACGTCCTGAAACCCTGGAAGTGGCGCGCAGCTGTGGGACTTCCGTCCACCCTGCAGGAAGCCAGCGCTACCTCCATTGTCACTGGAGGTAAGCAGTGGGGCTTCCTGAGAGGTAGAGGACAATGGGGGAGGGGACCTGACTGCCTCGTGATCGACTGGTTGAGTCCTCCCAATCAACCAGTCAATCGTGATCGTTGGGTTGGTGACCACGGCCCTATGGGAAAGAATCAATGGACACAAATCAGATACCCATAAAGGGAATGTACAGAAACCTGTTGGGAGAACTCTTCAATCTACCTAATTACTGTTTAAAAGATCTCCAGGTGTTTGTCTTGTCACAAACCAATTCTACAAGCCAAATACACAGAGAGGTGTTGGAATTACAATGCATCCACAAATTCAATTCTCACATTGATGACCTCCGCAATTGAGATAACGCATGGCTGGGACATTATCAACCTAACATTCAGTGAAGGTGCCAACAGCTCTTTGTCTGTATAGATTCTTGCGTTAGTACCCTTCCTCTCTAATTGCTATCCTATGATCCTTAATGCAGGACTATGTAGCACTTTAAAGACTAACAAGATGGTTTATTAGATGATGAGCTTTCGTGGGCCAGACATGGCTACATTTCTATTACTATTCCCTATGATCCTTATCTGCTTATTTTAACTATCCAATCTTTAGGTGCTTATAGGTTACCAGTTCTGCCTTCTTGTTTTTCCCTTTGATATTTTCATACCCTCTGCTCCTTGTCTCCCACACCCTTCCTTTTTTTTTCTTCCCACCCCCCTCCCTTTTCCCCTATTTATTTTGTGTCTGCACATCCTAAACTCAAAATTCCGGTCATCTGAAGAATTGAGCTGTGCTCACAAAAGCTCATGATACCATCAACATGTTTTGTTAGTCTATAAAGTGCTACCAGACCATTTGTTTTTTTTAAGTTTATACAAGTATATTTAACTCCACTAGTTCAGATGGCAGTTTTTTTATAAGGGAATAAATATTTCTGGCAAGAGGAATAACTAACAATAAAGGTATAAGTTACTTTTCTGTTGATATAACTATTTTTAGAGAGAAAAAATCACAACCCTCACCAAAAGACTATTCTACTTTTTTTTAAGTCTAGACCAGAGCTTAGAGTATAACTGTATTTAAGCCACGGCAGCTGCACTGCTGCAGCACTTTGAAGCAGACAATGCCTATGCCGACAAAGGGGTTCTCTTATTGGTGTAGGTGATCCATGTCCCTGAGAGGCAGTAGCTCAATCGATTGATGCATTCTTCCTTTGAGCTAGTACAGTGTATATTAGGAGTTAGATTGGTATAGTTACATCTCTCAAGTGTGTGGATTTTTTCTTACTGGACTCTATCAAAGGGACTACCGGTATTTGTGATAGTCTATTTGTGATGGAAGGTGCTACTCCTTATGTGTTAGGTTGGCAGAATCAGGTTGTTACAGTGAAATCCCTACCCTGTTAAAGTGCTCAGTTGTGTACCATGGTCTGTAATAATTTTTTAGCAAATTGGAAACAAGTTACACTTCTTAACTTAATAACATAGTAACAGCAAACATTGACATAAAACAGTGTGTGGCAGCAATTACTCTCAGATTTGTCTCATCTTTAACATACTCTCAAGAACTTTTATACCAGGTGTATTCCTTATATTCAACCTTTGCTAAGGGTTTGACAAAGAAAGTTTATTATTTGATGAAAAAAACTAATTAAAGGGCTAAAAAGGATAAGAATTCTGTCTCTTCTTGGAGCTTTCTTATAGAAAGTTCTTGACCTCTTCCAAGGATTAGCATACTGTTGTGATCATTACGTGTCCCATAGTGCAATGCAGATCTGTCTTTTTTTTTTTTTTTTTTTTTAACTTTTAAACAGTTTTGTGGTGGGAGAGAGAGATTTTTCTTCTAACTTGGCCAAGAAGGCTGGCAAAACAAATAGCCGTGTCTATAATAGGTAAGACCACAAGGGCTTAAGCCTGCGGAAGAATGCATTTTTCATCTGGGAATCTTAGTTATTTCCATCTGTGAAGCAGTGTTCATTTCAGCTCTCAACTGATGTCTCCCTCTGGGAGGTGTAAAATGAAGAAGTAGTGTTTCCACAAACACGGTATCGTTGACTCTTGCTGTGTCTTATGACTTCCCAAAATTTGTGCATTGTTACTTCTGTGTGTCTGTTCAAAATTCTTTATCTTATCTTTCAATAGGGACAAGATCTCTAGAAATCTTTTACCTCAGCCTCTTTTTTGTTGTGCAGCATCAAAATTCTTTCTTCAGCATGAACAGATTTATCCGCAATACTAGCCACAAAGTCTTCCAAATCCTTATTGGAGATAACTAGCGATTCTAGCAATTCTTTCATTTATTATAGTTTCCTCCAAGACTCTTTTAAAATAGGTGACATCCAAGGCCGTGTCTCTTTCTTGATTTCTCTGAACCTTATTTCACTGAGGAGCCAAATGATAATCTATTCCTTATAAACTATTTGAGTCTTCAGTGTAATCTTTTACATCAGACACATTTTATTTCTTCCAGTCATATTATCTATTAGTAATTGAGTGAAATGTCAAAAGCTTAGTTTCTCTGTTCAGAATACTTCCCATTTGTTGCTGTAAACCTAAATTATTTTAATAGATAATGGTCTATACAGTGGTCACCAGTGGAAACTTGGCAGTTGCCTTAGGCAACACTGCGACAGGTAATAGCTGTCCATCTCTTCCACCAACACAGACCACTCTGAAACCTTTTTGCTTGAGAACACCAGCGTGCACTGTATTTACAGTGTCTGTGTCCCTCCATCAGTACAAACCAATGGACTGACACCCTTATACTGTTTTCAGCTTTCTGTTCCTTTCTTCAAGGGTTGAGTGTTTGAAATCTCTGCACTCCAATAGCTCCCTCATCAGGCTTTCCTAGCCTTCTCTCTCCTCACTTCTTCCTCAAGCACTTCCTTCCTGTGCTCCTTTTCATCTATTTTCCTGTTAATGGGTTAGTTAGCTTAGTACCATTGTTAACTCTGACCTGATCTTATGATCTAGGGTCCTCTGTCATGTCTTATGAGTGATTTTATTCTTGATAAAATGACATTATAGGAATGATTGGAGTGTGTAGCTTATTTGCTTAGAACATTCATGGGGCCAAGTAGGTGAACACAAGTAAATGGCTTGTTAATCTTGCTAGAGTTAAGGGTATGTTATAGTACGTGAAAGCTTTTTACAACAGTTATACTAAAGGCCGAAGTGGAGCTGAAATGTGAGGGACTTAAGGCAATAACCCTGGGTCAGAAACTTTGCATGCATATTGAGGGAAATAAGTAAGAAAGAAGGAAGTTTTGTGGTGTATGAGACTTTGCACCTCAAAGTAACACCCTGGAATCCCTCATATTCAACATTATCATATGATAATGGTATGTTTTGTACAAAGTGTTGCTTGTGAGGAATCGTTTAAAAATCTTAGTCTGTTGAATTGTGTGCTACCATTGTATGTGTAGTTGTGAATTATTGCTACATGTGTTTCTGAAGCATGCTGTGAAGTTGGGATACGCTTACAGTCAGCATTTCATTTGCAACAAAGGGGGGCCAGACAAGTGTAGCTGGCCCATAAAATGACGACTAACCCCAAAGCTCCTGAAATTAGGCATGTATTCAATGTAGATTGGTTGGCCAACGAGGACTGTCTGAGCCCCATGTCATAGCAAGGATCTTTCTAGTAGCTGAAAGAATATATATGTTGCTTGGTCTTTCTCCGTCCCCCAACTCAGCATGTGGAAGATCATCTGGAGAACAAACACTTGGAACTAGGGCAGGGGTAGGAAGTAATTTTCACAGGGGGACCACTCCTTGGGTCTTACATTTCTACTATATTAATGGAGAGGGCGTGGGGTTTGAGAGGGAGTTGGGTGTAGGATGGAGTGCTGGGCTGAGGCAGTGGGTTTAGGTGTGGGAGGGAGTGCAAGGTACAGACTCTGGCCAGGAGGTGCATACTATAGGTGGCTCTTGGCCTGCAGTGCAGCAGGACACTCAGGCAGGCTGCCTGTCTTCTGTATTCCACGCCACTCCTGGAAGCGGGCAGCTGCTGCTGGTATGTCTTTCCACGCCCCTTGGGGTAGTGAGGCAGCAAGTCTTCATGTGTTGCTTGTGGCTATAGGCACCACCTCTGCATCTCTCATTGGCCAGTTTATGTCCAATGGGAACTGTGAGGACAGTGCAGGGGGACTCTGCACAGAGTCCTGGACCATCTTCCCCTCACCAGGAGCGCACAGAGACATGGTAGCAGCAGCCTACCACTTGTGGGAACTGCGACATGAACTGTGAGAAGTCAGCCTGCCTGAGCATCCCACTGTGATGGAGGCTAGAGAGAGATGTTAGTGAACTGGATCTGCCCCACAGGCCATATCTTTCTCACCCTGGAACTAGGAATATTGGTCCCAGGCTGGAAAGGAGTGCACTTTGTGTATTGAGGAACTGTAAGTTGCCTGTAACATCTGTTAGGGAGAGAAACCATTTGATTCAAATCTTATTCAGTCTATCAAAGTTACAATTTATATTTTGTTACTATTTTTATTTCTTAGGAAACCAACATCGTCCTCTATGCCTGTTACTTATAATCACTTACAATTTATCTTTCCATAGTTAATAAATCTGTTTTATATTTTACTCAAAATAGTATGTTTTTATTGGAACCTGAGCGGAGATCCCTCTAGCACTTCAAAGACTGATACATGTCCAATTTCCTCTGAAAAAGTGGTACATTAAGGAATGAGTTTACGCTGGTCAGGCTTCTGATTAGGACAAGATGGCACATGGGTGTAGGACTGGAGCTGGGGGACATTGTCTGAAGCCTCCCTATTGATGGTTCATGAGTGGCAGGGAGTAGCTCATGTAGCTCAATTGGGTATGTCCCTACTCAGGGATGGCTTTGTACATGCAGTTCCTGTCAGAGGCTTGTAGGTTCACATCAATATCTCAGTGTGAGAAACAGCTCAGGTTGGTGGGTCTGGAGGACTCAGTGATCCCAAGTCCACTTATTTTCCCTTCAATATTGGTTTTCAGCGGTCACCATAAATTGTAACTAATGCAGCATGCAAGATTGTAAGTATGATAAATATATGAAACCACTTTAACACTCTTATCAATGCTTATATTTATGTATATTGATCTTTTTCTACAAGTCAGTTGTACTTGTCTGTACTAAATCAAGTTTCTCTGGGTGTTTCACAAATTTCCATCTTCTCAATTAACTTTAAGTATCTTCCTAGGAAAAGAACTGGTTATCTGTAACAAGTGCATGTTGTACCCTAATATATAATCTTATAAGTGCAATTGTTCTTCAGGCTACAACTTCCTAACCCCTACCTGACCTAGGAATCAGGCCCATCTCTGCTCAATTAGGACATCTCTAGAAACCTAATTAGTGCTAATAGTGACCAGAATTCTGACCTCATTTTAAATCAGTTTTCATTGCACAAGGCATTTGCTATAAGTATTGAATAGTGTAAGTAACATGGCAAATATGGTAACTTTGTGTATTATAGTTAATCTAACAATATATTGTCAAATTAGTAAGGATAATGACCTCTCCAAAGCATGGACTTGTCAAGCAGAAATAGGAATCATACAGTTGGAATTAATTTTATCTTTCTTTTCTTTTATTTGTCCTCATTTTTCATTTTCATTAGATTGTAATCCATTAATGCAACATCGATGTGGAGATGGGAGATGTATAACGATAGATTGGGTATGTGATGGTGACCACGATTGTATAGACAAGTCAGATGAAGTCAATTGCTGTAAGTTACCTGATTTCTTAAGTTCCCATATTGGTACAATTTTAACCAATTGTTAATCATGGAGTGTTGCTAGAAAGACAAGAATGTAAGGTAATTTGATTTCATATAACTAAGTAGGTGGTAAATGTTCTTTGAGGCTAGCTAATGTGTCAATTTTTAAAATGAGGTAATCCCAGCACTTATAGATGAGTAAGCCTAACTTCAGAGAAGGCAAACTATAGTAAAGAATAGAATTGTCAGATGCATAGATGAACATAATTTGTTGGGGAAGTATCAACATGATTTTTGTAAAGGGAAATCATGCCTCATCAATCTCCTAGAATTCTCGGAGAGGGTCAGCAAGCATGTGGACATGAGGGAAAAAAGTGAGGTGGCAAAATTTGCAGATAGTACAAAACTATGTAAGATAGCTAAATCCAAAGCAGACTGTGAAGAGTTACAAAGGGACTTAACAAAACTGGGTGACTGAACATCAAAATGGCCCAGGAAATTCAATGTTGATAAATACAGTGTAGTGCACATTGGAACACACAATCCCAACTTTACATATAAAATGGTGGAGTCTGAATTAGCTGTTACAACTCAAGAAGGAGATCTTGGCAGGGAAGCCAATAGACTCCCTGGGTCCCGGGCAAGGTGGGGTGAGCCTTGCTCTGCACTCCCAGAAAGGGCAGGGCCTCAGGCAGAAGTGGTAAGGGTGGGGGCAGCCCACCCACAGTGCTGCCTGGACTACGCCACACCACTCCACCCCCTCGCCAGGCCTCAGTGCTACCCAGAGCCTGCCACTCATAGCTCTGTCAGCGACTTGGCTCTTGCTGATGCTGCAGTAGCAGTGTGGCTTGGAGCTCTGGGCCCTTTTGAATCACTGGGTTCTCGGGTAGTTTCCTTCTTTACCCCCCTATTGACGGTGTGGTGGGGTGAAGCAACCCCGCCACTGCCCCAGGACGAGGGAGGCGAAGACACTGGCGCTACGTGGGAAGCGGCAGAGCCGGCCTTGAAGGCACCAAACAGGGAAGGGGTTACGCAGGGTACGCAGGTCCCACAGGCAGCTGCAGACCCGGCGCAGGAGGATGACGTCACACCCTCCAGGCGCATGACGTCAGGCGGGTGCCCAGAGATGCCCATGGGGGAGAGAGTAAGGCTGGGGAGGAGGGTAACATCACCCGCCGAGCCCAGGGGCGGAGATAAGAGGGACACCCAGGCAGGAGAGGGGGAAGGAGGAACAGAAGGAGGAGTCCAGGAAGAGAGGTGCGGGGAGGAACAGGTACGGGGGAACTCGGGAGCAAGGGTTCAGCGAGCGCATATTGCACCCGCGATCTGAGCCCGGGTGGTGGAGTTGAGCAGTGACCCAGAGCGGGGTCGCGGAGCCCGCGAGCAAACGTGTTTAGGGGCAACACTCCCATTTGCTACAGTAAGGAGCTTAGCTCCCTGCGTTAGGGCCCTGGGCCGGTGCCTGGGAGAGTAGGTGGGCCCGGGCCCCCCTCTCCGCCGTCCGAAGGCGATCCTTGAGGCCCAGTTGGAGCAGTTGGCTGGCCCCAGGGCGATCTACCTGCATTTTGCCTCTGAACTAGATGGCAACTGGGTGTGGGAAAATGCATGATTAAATAAAGGGGTGAAATTCGCATAAACTACGAGTGCAGACTCGTGACAGACAGGCCTGAATCTTGGAGTCACTTTAAATAGTTCTCTGGAAAAAAAAAAAACTGCTCGATGTGCAGTGGTAGTCAAAGAAGCGAACAAAATCTTCTGAGTCATTAGGGAAGGGGTAGCTAATACAACCGAAAATATCATAATGACATTACATAAATTCTTGGTACATCCACGCCTTGAAAACTGCACATAGTTCTGGTTGTGAGCTTTTCAAATATATATATTAAAATTGGAAAAGATACAGAGAAGGGCAACCAAAATGATTTAGGGTATAGAACACATTCCATATAAGAGAATTTAAAAAGACTGGGACTGTTTAACATAGAAAAGAGATGATCAAGGGGGGATATGACTGAGTTCTATAAAATCATGAATGATGTAGAGAAAATCAATAAAGAAGTGTTATTTACTCCTTCACATAATACAAAAATCAAGGGTCACCCAATTAATTGAATAAGCAGCATGCTTAAATATAAGGAAGTATTTCTTGTTGGGAATAATTAGGAAAGGGATACATAATAAGACAGAAAGTATCATATTGCTCCGCTATATAAATCTATGGTACATCCACATCTTGAAATATTGCATGCAGATCTGGTCATCTCATGTTAAAAAAGATATATTGGAATCAGAAAAGGTACAAAAAGGGGCAATCAAAATTATTAGGAGAATGGAACAGCTTCCATATGAAGAGAGACTAGTAAGACTAGGACCTTTCAACTTGGAAAAGAAATTACTAAGTCTATAAAAACATGACTGTTGTACAGAAAATAAATAAGGAATTGTTGTTCCTTCTCATGACACAAGGACTAAGGCCAGGTTTATATTGGACCTGGAAGGTCAACTTACGATACACAACTCTAGCTACATAAATATCATAGATAGCATTGATATACCTTAAGCTGAGCTTGGCACTGTCTTCACAGCAGGACGTTGATGGGAGCAAACACTCCTGTTGGCTTCCCTTACGCCTCATGACTGTAAGGAGTACCGGTGCCGACAAGAGGTGGCCTCAGCTTTTGATTTAATGGGTCTTTACTAGACCCTCTCAATCAAATACCAGAAGATTGATCTCTGGCAAGGCAAGTGGAGACATGGCCTAAGGATCACCATGTGTGACAAATAAAGGGAAGTATGTCTTCACACAGTGCATAGTCAACTCTTGGAACTCTTTGTTAGAGGATGTTATGGAGGCCAAGACTATAACTGGGTTCAGAAAAGACTAGGTAAGTTCATGGAGGGATACCATCAATGGTGGTTAGCCAGGATTGTCAGGGATGCAAAACCATGCTCTGAAGTCTCCCTAGCCTTTGTTTGCTAAAAAACTGGGAATAGGCGACGGGATGGATCACTTAATGATAACCTGTTTTGTTCATTCGTTCTGAAGTACCTGGCATTGACCACAGTCAGAAGACAGGATACATGGGTAGTTATACCAGTGGTCTGATCCAATATATCTATTCTTATGTTCTTAACATTTTCTTCTGATTGTCAAAATGTATAGTAGTTGATCTGTTGTAGCTTCCTTCTGGTTCATTAACATTTTAATTGGAAAACTGCAACTATCCTTATATCGTAAGCATTTTGGGGTAGGGAGGTCCACACAGTCATTTGAGCCCCATGAACCCAAGTCTGCTGACAAAGACCAGCTGTGTTGTTTTTTTTATCCCTCTGTAGCTGTACCCAAAAATACAAACACTGGAGATTTTTTAACAATGTTTGAACATGGGCAAAACAACTAATTTTTCCTTAGAGCTGCATTCTCAGAAAAAGCCAAACCATTTAGCTGAAATTTTGAAGAATTGAGCCTGAGGCAGGCAGTTGGTAAGGAAATGTTTAGCCCAAATGATCAAAAGTTTAAAAAAACTATACGCAACTAAAAAAGAGTCTTTATAATGCTAAGTGCTGGGCTACCTTAGTAGGCAGTGGTTCCAGCCTATTCATTAATACTTATTTTTTTAAATTAGGTTGAAAAGAAATGAGAAACCTGTAGGGCTGTGGGATGATTAGAATGTATCCTTGTTTCCTCAGCATGTTACAGTCAGGGTCTGGTGGAGTGCAGAAATGGACAGTGCATTCCCAGTGCTTTCCAGTGTGATGGGGATAATGACTGTAAGGATGGAAGCGATGAAGATAATTGCAGTGAAAATAAGGGTATGCTGAGTTTCATTCCCTTTTCAATAAGTGAACTAATCACCAATGACCTCTGTTATGAAACTTCTTTCTGGGAAATAAGGATGTCTATCACTCTATGGGCACACAAGAAGTACCCTCTGCGCCTCCACTTACAGGCAGAATTGTTTCTTAACCACTCCTGAAGAATGTAGTCTGAAACTAAGCAGAG